AAAGGATTGTTTATGCCTTACTTTCTGATATGCTGTTTGGCTGCAGGAATTCCAGCCATGTCTTCATTCAGCAGAAATGTCTTAGTTCCTAAGCAGTAAATTGTATGTATTCTGACCAAATCAGCTGACGGACATCAAAGCAGAATAACTGGAATCAAGCGGAAAGAATAATATCAAAGATGGGTGGGAGGACCATTGCATTCTTGATGTTGCACTGAACATTATATGAAATGACTTCTGAATAATAAATTTTGCTTTGGAGGAAAATTCCTCATTAGTCCAGCTGATCCCCATCCACCAGAGCAGGACTGTGGGCCCTGGGCATCCCTGCTTGCTCATATCGTAAGTCAAGTGAAAAATGGTCAGATGGCTACTGAGGAGTTCCAGTTGATTGACTATTTTCTTGACCTTCTTTTGGACACTGAATTCTCAGCGAAGGAGAGGCCGTAGATGGCTGTCCATTTCCTCAATCCGGCATTGCTTGTCCCAAGATCTCATCACCGATTGTCCAATTCCTGGGGAGCTCACAAAGTATCCCGCTGTTCAGAGGGGAAACAGTTGCGTTTTCATTCTGGAAGAAAATTCAGAGGCACCTTGACACTGTTCAGGTGCTCCCCACAAAGTTGTGGAAAATGACAGCATTTGCCCGTCCCCACGAGAGAAACCCCAGGACCAAAGATGATGGGTGTCTGGCTTCTCTCACAAGGCCATGGGCAGAAGCCAACGTATGGAGCCTGTGAATGCCCCACTGCCCGCAGGAGACAGATGTCACTGTTGGCCTGTCATAAGACTTTAAAGACCTGGATGACGATATGGGGAACTGCAACGTTGGCAGCTCCTGATGACCTGCGATCTAGGAAAATCATTCTCGTTCAACGGTGTATCTCTTGATCAGCAAAGAAGCCCTACCTGTGAACTGCAGTGTACCACCCAGCAGTGATGGTTAAGTTGATAGCAAGGTCTACTGGGATAATATCTGCTACTGCATCTTGGTTGCATTTTATCGTCTGTAAAATCCCCTTTCCAGCCTGGGAAATAGAGAAGAAGCTAATTACCATACATAACTTGACTTCCTTATTCAGCATAGAGTTTGTGTACTCTGAGATTTGAATTCAATAACAGTTGGATGGGATAGATATGTTCTCCTGAATTAAACTTGGAAGAAAATTTTAGGGACTTGAGGAACACATCTCAAATGAGAAAACTGA